ATAAAATAATTATTTTTTTTTTCGAGCTCGAGCTTTAAATTGCCGACTCGTCGAGCTCGGTAAAATCTAGTTGAGATTCGACTCGATTAGTCCAAAACTCGACTCGACTCGACTCGTTTGCAGTCCTAGCTGCACCCCTACTCTCCTGTAACTTTGATAGAATAATTCATTTTGAGTTGGGTTTTTCTTTATTGACAGTAGTAGATTCTTGTTCTCTCATGATCTTTCCTCATTTCTACTTAAACACACATTATGTTCATGCCGAAAATTTGGTCAGATATTGTACTGGAATTTGTTTCTTCCTAAGGTTGCTTAACATTCCATCCGTTTCCAGTACAAATACTAATCGGTGTAAGGGGCAAAAACAATACGAATAAAGCTAAAAACTGAAGACAGTTCGTGTCGGCAAGAGGAGTGTAGTAGTTTTATTTCTGGCAAAAATGCAATTTTGGTACCTAATTTTTATCTCATGTGAAGGTTTAGTCCTTAAAGTTTTGGTAAAAGCAAATTTGGTCGTCAATCTTTATCCCATGTTTAGTTTTTGTTCCCAGAGTTTTTGCAAGAGCAAATCTGATCCTCAATGTATCCATTTTAAAGCAGATTTAGGACATATGAAGAATTTTCCCTAATTACTGACATAACTTTGTCACATCTAGTTATGTGTCGATTAAATTACATTTCAAAACAAAGAAACAAAATAGTTAGTAGTTAACTTTAAACAACAAAATTAAGAACTAATAATTCATATGCTAACTAATTAACTAGTAAAAATTTTAAATTAAAACTAGTTGAAGTGCCCAGTTCATCAATATAGAACTCATTTTCCTTTTATTTATTCATCAATGAAGTCATTGTCCAGGCCACCAGGTTTTAGGTTTAGACATCGTTGGTTTTGAAAGATGGTGTTGTACGCTGGTAGCCTCCTGAAGACTGAAGAGTGAACGCATACGCCCCACCAACTGCGCATAGTCTCCTTAATAATTTCCATGATTTTGTAGTGCTGCGGGTAAGGTAGCTTCGCCTTTCAAAATCCCGTTGCTGTCTATCTTCGCTTTAGTTTCTTGTAATTAATTAGTTACATCTTTCTTTTTCTCTTTGACTGACTTTAATGGCTCCACTCCATTTTTTTTTTCTTTTTTTTGGCTGCAGTTTCGTTGTGACGAGTAAGAATTTTCCTCGTATTTCGTTCTTAATTTTCTCACGCGGCTTTGACAATTCTTCTATAGCAAGTTACTATATAAAAATGATAAATAATGACAGACTTTTATAATGTCGATAATGTGTTTCTGTCACCTTTCTTATGCTGTTTCTAGGAACTAGTGTTATGATCACTATGAAAAATTTGTGCCTTTGCTTCTTCTTTTGCTTTCGAAATTGCTTTTCCAAAATACAGCACTCAAGTAGCTCGAGTAATGCACCTTGTCACACTTGAGTCCAAATTATGACTCTACAATAGTCAATTTTAATAGTGAATTTCAATTCATTAGCTCAAGTAGGGGCTTCGTATTAGGATTTGGGGAAAAAAAATCGAACTCTAATACTTTTATAGCCTATGACCCGTTAAATTCAGGAACAACAAATCTAACTACATATATGTCTCAAATTTCTCTTCTTCATAACAATATCCCTATATAAAAAATCTGCTTTACAAGGATACATTCTCACTAACTTATATGGCCAATATTTGTTTAGTCCTTGCAGATATGTAGCAAAATTTTCCAATAAATTAATTATTCTTGCACAAGTAAAACTGCAAAAGGACAGATTCCAAGCTCGGGCTTCCGCTAACTATGCTCCCATCTGGTTCCATTTTAACCATTTATCATTACAATAAGGTAAACAGTAAGATCCCATGCTAAGACGATATGGTAAATCAGAACAAATATCGTGCATCTTGTACGAAGCGATTTGAGAAAACCTCGGAACGTTGAAAATTCAATTCGATGATAAAAGGTGAATATAATCAACGAAAAAAAAAGACAAACTTCAAAAGAAAAAATTGAAGAGAAAATTATAGAATGAAACATATGCCAACTTCAATATTATTGGCAATTAAAGGTCGAGTATAATATATACTATATAGCATGCATAATTTTCTTCATGCTGTTTGACCATGTATAATGCATAATTTAATTCTAATTGGTCAAAAGAGCCACTTCTTGTCCCTTATTCCTAATCTAGTCTTAGTTGTAATAATTTCACAGCTGGAGAAAAAGAACTGAGATGAAAGATTACATTGGTGATCCAAAGTCATTCATTTTAGAAAGAAGAAAGAAGAAACATAAGAAACGCAAAATTATGATTTGACTTTGTCGAGTATATCTAACTTTTTTTCTTTACACATTACAATAATAAACTAAAAGAAAAATTAGACATCAGAAGATGGTGGTGATCGGATTTGGCTGCGTGGTTAAGGGTTTACCTTAATTGCCTTATGCTGAGCATTAAAAAATAATTTAGCCATCTCCAATATTTTCATTCCCACTTCTTTCTTCACATCCAACTTTGTCTACAAAACCAGGGGAAAAAACAAAAAGAAAAAAGAAAAGCTTTCCAGTTTCCTACAAGTAAAACTGTACACTTCAAAGCTAGGAACAGCAAACGAAGAGAACAACTGGAGATCATTCCAGTTTCCTCCGAGTTCAAACATTATTGTTTACCTCTTTTCTCCTTTTTGAATAACTAACAGAACCAAAAGTAATAATTATCCATCCATCAAATTATCTTTAAAAAAATAAAATTGCATTATTTCACAAGGTAATAATTTTGAAAGGATTGAAGAATAGAATAGCATAAGTAAATTTTTTTACTTGAGTTGCTTATTATTTGATCTGGTCCTTTTTAATCAAAAAAGGCAATATAGAATTAAATTTGTCCTATCTTTACTTCTTTAGTAAAGTTGAAAATATAAGGTCAAGAGTAATAAAAAGAGGTAAATATAGAATGAATTTTATCTCATCTTCAACAAAACTGAAAATATAAGGTCGAGAGTAATAGTAAGGGCAGTGGTGGTTGGCTACATTTTTATGAATTAAAATACACAATTTCTTTATGTTGTTTGATGATGTATGTTGCATAGGACGATTCTAATTGGTAAAAAGAGCCGCCTTTCGTCCTATCCAGCTCAATAAAACTTTCGAAGTCTGTTAAATTACTGGTTTAAAATACCTGGGCCAAGTTATTAGTAGCTCATGGATCCTAAGTTTTTCTTCTCGATATTTGAGCAGTGTTTTGAAAACCGGACCGGACCGGCCGGTTCGACCGGTTGAACCGCGAACCGGCCATGGCTCCGGTCCGGTTCAATGCCAGGTTTGACTTGTCAAGAAACCGGTCAAAAACCGGTTGGACCGCGAAACCGCTGAACCGGATGTGAACCGGTTATTTCCGGTTTTTGAGTTTTCCTTTTTTTTTTTTTTTTTTTTTTTTGCAAAATGTAGTTATCAAGATTCGAACTCAAGACCTTTGTATTAGAAGACCAATGTAGTAACCATTGCACTATCACATCTTATTGGTTTCTTTTGATAACTTATTTATATAAAACAAACACTCATATTTCTTTTGTTCCATTTTTTTTACAAAATATCATCTTTTCATGACTCTTTCTTTTTAATCTTCAACACACACACACACACACACACACACACCCTCTCTCTCTCTCTCTATCATCTTTTCTTTTGCCACTCATTTTATAATCAAACCTCTTTATTTTTAATTTATTGATGTTTTCTTCCATATTTTAATTTTGTTTTTGTCCATTAAATTTAAAAAAGTTAAAAAAGAATTATTTTTCTTTAACCCAATTTATTTAATACCACAACCACTCACTTTTATCTCATTTCTTGTTTCTTATCAAATTTGCATTTCTATTTTCAATTCTCTTGATTTTTTTCGAACTCCAAACTTCCTTTTTTAAATTGTAAATTTAAATTCCAAAATGTAAATTAAAATTTAAGTTCACAATGTCTAAATTCTCATAGACGTGAATTTTGTATAATTTCAAATATTGTGATATTTTTGGATTATATTTAAGATTTTTTTGGTAGATATAATTAAAATTGAGATGAAATTTATTTGTTTTGACTTATAATTTAAAAAATTTATTTTTAAAAATCCAAGTTATTCAAAAATAGTAAACTTTTCATCATATAAAGTATTAAATTATCCATTACATGTCTTATTTTGTGCACATATATATTTATATAAATTATTTTTTAAAAAATTCATTGAACCGAGGTTGAACCGGTCCGATCGGTTGAACCTCGACCCTTTCACTTCACCGGTTCGATTAACGGTCCGGTTTTTAAAACATTGTCGATATGCTGATTTATGCTTCTATCTTCCACAGGTTTCACACTTATATGAGCTGTTATTAACAAAAAATAACATTGAACTCATGTTTTGGAGTTGTGATGCCTTTCACTTGATCATTATTTCAACATAAGAAAGTTAATTTATTGGGTTTTAATTTTCAATGTCCTCGATGATTCTCCTCTTTAATTTGTTGTTTTCCTTTTCTTTTGGAATGCCATGGTTAACGATCACTTGGCGTTTTATTTTTATTTTTTTTTAATTTTGCGGTTGCCTCGTTGGCTTTGCGGATATCGCTCTAGATTAGGTACCAAATAAGCCTATGCAAATGTCTATCATCTACCTACATATATACATACATACATATACATACAGATACATATATATATATATATATATATATTAAGTGATACTGAATTTTTAAATAAAATTTACTCCCAAAATTAAGTGATATGCTATTCACTTATCACTGAACGTGATATGCATTCAAATATATTAGATTAACAATTCAATAAATTAATGAATTCAGATTTTAAACTTCAATTTTATCAAGCACACCATTAAATAGATTCTCATTCTCATTCTCGTGCTCTTTCCTCTTTAACTACTTAAACGCACATGCATGTCTATACCGAAAATTTGGTCAGAGATTTGTTCCCAAGGTTTCTTTGATATTCCATCCGTTTTTATTACAAAAATACTAGTTGGTCCAAGGGGCTAAAAAAAATGCAGAAATTAGTTCCATAGGAGGAGGAGGTGCAAAGACTTTGCAGTGGTAGTTTTATTTCTTCGTCAATGAAATAAATAATGTCCAGTCCAACCGCGTTTTAACTTTATTCCTTCCCTTGTTAAATAATTCGACATCATTGCTTTTGCACGATGCTGCGGTAGTCACTCCTTTTATCTTTATCCGACCAAAGGACCCACAGTTGAAAGAAGGTCCTGAAGGCTGATCACCCCACCATTTGCACAGTCTTCTTAATAGCTTCCATGATTTTGTATAGTAAGCAGGTAAGAGGCAGCTTCGTCTTTCAAACTAACGTTGCTGCCTATCTTCTTGTCTTCAATTTCCATCATGTTTCTTGCTTTAGTTTCTTCTAATTTGTTAATTCTTTCTTTTTCTTTTTGACGCGGTTTTTCTTTTTGATATATACTGCATCATATAGTTTCAAAGTTCATCAGCTTATGAATCTATAGCCTACCCTTCTTTCTTCCTTTCAAGACACTGCAAGTGGACTGTCCTATAAACCAGAAGCCGCCTTCCCCAACATTCTTAAGTTAGAAAGAAACACTGAAAATGGCAGAAACAGTTCTCTCTTTTGTGCTGCGACAACTCTCAACTTTTCTGCGCGAGGAGGGACGACTATTGGGGGGGCTTCAGCAAGAGGTTCAATTCATCATGGATGAGTTGGAGCAAATGAGAGCTTTCCTGCGAGAGGCAGAAGCAAAAGAAGAAGATGCTCAACCCACTCTCCAACAATGGATCAAGCAAGTGCGAGATGCTGCTTATGACACTGAAGACATTCTTGATGAATTTGTAGCTCGCTTTGCTCGGCATCCCGCAACAGGATTCTACGGCTCTGTTCGGAGAATTTTCAGCTCCATCAAGAATTTGAGAGCTCGTCATCGAGTTGCTAGCGAAATACAAGGCATCAAGTCCAGAATAAAAAGTATTTCCGAAGCTCATCAAAGATACCAATCTGAATATGGTATCTCTGCCCAAGCGTCCAACTCACTTTCTGCTGTGAACAACACAACATGGCGCTATAGCAGAGATGATGCGCTGCTTGTGGAAGAAGCTAAATTAGTTGGCATTGACCAGCCCAAGAAACATCTAATTTCTCAGCTCCTCCAAGGGGATGATTACCAACTAAAAGTTGTTTCAGTGGTTGGTATGGGAGGACTTGGCAAAACTACCCTAGTGAAAAAAGTCCATGAGGATCCTGAAGTCAGAAGGCATTTCCCAGTCCGTGCTTGGGTAACTGTCTCTCAAACATGTGACTTTCAGTACCTCCTGAAAGACTTGATTCTGCAGTTACACAAGGACGGGAAGAAACCAGTCCCACAATTGATCGACTCCATGACTACCACCGAGCTGAAAGAAATTATCAAATATTTTCTTCAACAAGCTGAAAGGTATGCGATTGTTTTTGATGATGTATGGGACGTGGAATTTTGGAATACCATCAAGTTTGCGCTGCCCGAGAGTAGCCACGGCAACCGTGTCATGCTAACAACTCGGAAAGCTGATGTAGCCTCTGCCTCTTGTACAGAATCTCTAGGTTATATCTACAGAATGGAGCCACTGTCCTTTGAAGATTCGTGGATCCTGTTTTGTAACAAGATCTTTAAGGGAAATAGTTGCCCTGGCCATTTGATGGATGTTGCCAAAGTTATACTGGGTAAATGTGAGGGCTTGCCCCTTGCGATTCTTGCAATCAGTGGGCTTTTGGCTTTGAAAGATGTAAACAGAACAGAGGAATGGGAGATGGTTCGACGCAGTCTTGGGGGTGAATTAGAAGGCACTGGTAAGTTAGACAGAGTTAAAAGGATACTTTTTCTTAGTTATAATGATTTGCCTTGGCATCTAAAGGCATGTCTGTTGTACACAAGCATCTACCCAGAGGATCACAAAATAGACTGCTATAGACTAGTTAATTTGTGGATTGCTGAAAGGTTTGTAGAAGGGAGAGAAGGAATGAGTATTGAAGATGTAGCCTGGAATTATCTCAGTGAACTCGTCAATAGAAGTCTAATTCAAGTGTCTAAGGTGTTTTATGAAGGAATACCCCAAAGATGTCGAATCCATGACCTATTGAGAGAAGTTATTCTTCTCAAGTCAAGGGAACAAAACATGGTCACAGCCACTACTGGACAACCAATGACGTGGCCGTCCGAGAAGGTACGCCGTCTAGCAGTCCATAGTAGTAGTAGCAGTAACAACACCCAGCACCACCACCAAAGACGAATTTATTGCTTTGACCACCTTCGGTCGTTCGTTACAGTTGGATCCACCGACCCGCTACTATCCAAAACGTTGTTATCTGAAATTTCAAGGAGTAGTAAGCTGTTAAAGGTTTTGGATTTGGATGGTCAAGAGACACAAGAGGAAATACCAAATGAGATTTTCAAGATGTTTCATCTCAAGCATCTGGACCTATGCGATACAAGAGTGGAGAGAGTCCCGAAAGCCATTGGAAAGCTTCAACATTTGGAGTTTCTGGATTTGGGTAACACCAGAGTTAGGGAACTACCTGTGGAAATCCTGAAGCTGCAAAAACTTCGGGTTCTCAGAGTATATCAACAAGTTGATTCTTCCGATGATGATTATGGATATCATGGATTTAAAGCTCCCTCAAATATGGGAGGGCTTCTTGCCTTAGAAGTATTAGACAGCATAGATGCAAGTAGTGGATCCACAATAATCAAGGAGATAGGAAAGTTGACCCAATTAAGAGAATTAGGTATTACAAAGTTAAGAAGAGAAGATGGAAAAGAGCTCTGCTCCTCCCTTGCCAATCTCACCAGTCTTCGGGAATTAAGCGTTGATTCAATTGGTAAAGATGATGATCATGAGATAATCGATCTAAATCACCCTTCTCTTTCTTCTTCTTCTTCGTTTCTTCAATCTCTTCGTCTGCTGATTATGTACGGCCCCTTAGAAAAGATGCCACAATGGGTAGCTCATCTTCACGGCTTGGTAAGAATAGATATGAATTGGAGTAGGTTAAGGGTCGAGGAGGATCCGCTTGAATCCCTCCAACATTTGCCCAATTTGGGTAGAATTAATTTCTGCGGATCTTACCAGGGAGAAGGGTTGTGTTTCAAGGCTGGAGGGTTCCTAAATCTGAAGTGGATGCACTTAAAGAGAATGGAAGGGTTGAGATGGATGAGAGTGGAGGAGGGTGCATTACCACGTCTCCATGAACTCATTCTGGAACAACTTCCATTACTAGATGAGTTACCTTTGGGTATTCAGCACTTGAGCCATCTTCAAGAGCTGTCTTTGTATGAGATGAGTTCTGAAATGATAGAAAAGGTAGAGAATCAGAAGGAAGAAAGTGAAGATTACACAAGAATTGCACGCATTCCTGAAATTGTCATTGGTTGCTATACAGATGATGGAGAATGGACAGTGCGCCAGCTATGGGAGAAGAAGAAAACATAATCATTCCTAGCAGCAGCAGCAGCCGCCGTGGCTCCCCTTTCTCTGGTTTGCACCCTCCTTGTTGTGGACAACACTGCTTTTGTTTTTTATTTTTTATTAGTAAATTTTTTCCCCTTCGACCGTAAGAGAGGTTCATCATCTTCTGTGTCCTACCTTCTTATTTATTGTATGTATTGTGTATAATGCTTGATGTATAGTATAACTCTCTATCTTTTTGTGTCTTAATCTTTATTCAGCAAACGATCAATTTTAAAATTTTGGTCAGAGATAATATGTAAACCCAATTTATCCTGATGTCTGCTTGTATATGTAAATCCAATTAATATGGTTTGTCTGGTAAATGTAGCGAATGTTGGGTATACACCAAGTTTATTATGCGACTCTTTATCATGCGAATGTTGGATACGTTGATCACATATCCATTTGCTTTACCATTGCAAGGGCTAGCTAATATTAAGTTAAGTAAATTACATTTTATCCCCTGTGATTTGGTACTTTATCAAATAACTCTCATATGGTTAAAAAAAAAAACCTATATATGACTTCCTCATGATTTAGGTTAAAATTTCATTATTAGTTTTTTCAATAAAAGTAATGGTCAATAGTAAAAGGTTAAAATCAAACTAATAAACTAGAATTTCACTTCTAAAGGTGACAAATTTTAGGTAAATTAGGCAGGCAATCGAGAACGAATGCTGAAGATAAGGTTTAGCAACATGTGGGCAATCAAGAATGATTGGTTTTGCAATTTGTCTGATCAACGTATGGCGCTAGCAAATTTTAAGTTCTATTGAGTTAAAATATATATATATATATATATAAAGAATATGAAGAGAGGATCTCTAATTAACTTTCATTTTTGAAATTCAGGAAGCTAGTTTCTAATACATAACATTTGGACCCTCATATTTCTTCTCAAATTTCTCTCTATTGATTACAACGTCATTTGACCACCCCCCCCCCCCCCAAAGTTCTATATCATTTTGTCGAAAAAGCAATTCATGTAAAAAAGAATAAATTACATATAATCCCCCTATAATTTTCTTCAATGCCACATAACACCTCTAAAGTTTCATAATAGTTATATAACCTTCATGTAATTTTATGTAAAGTAGAAAATGGAAGGAATGCACCATTGGTTAGGTGTTTCAACTAAATGCGCTCCCAAAAACTTGTGTGATGGAATCATAAAATCCAATTAACCCTCTATGATTTAAATAAATACGCATTTTACCTCATTGTATTTTTTACATTTATCCACATAATTTCCTTGCGATTTTATCCAAGGTGGTTAAACATTTATTCACTTTATCATTTAAATAAGGACATTATTAGTATTTGAAATAGTGATGTTAGAGAGGTTATTTTTTGTAAAGTTTACACTGAACCTAAGGGAATGAAATAGATATTTTGTAATGTTATGGCGGTTATATGACAATGAGTGAAACCATAGAAGATTACGTTTAATTTACCCTAATATAAGGATACTTAAAACTAAGGATGACAACAATGGCAGGTGCCCGCAAGAATAAAAAGAGGGCGGGGGATGGGACGGGACAGGGGGAGAAAATTTTCCCCTACCTTAAAACGGGGCTGAGGCAAGGCAACATACACCCGCCTCATCCCCCGCACACGAAAAAAAATTATATATATATTTTTAAATTTATAGATGTATATATAATACATATATATACACAATATAATAATTTAGTTATAATCCAATTCTTTATATTTAATAATATAAGTAATAACATAAATGTGTAGTTTTGGTCCCTAAAATTTTTGCGAGAGCAAATCTGGTCCCTAATATATCCATTTTAAAAATAGATTTAGGACATTTGAAGAATTATTTTCAATTACTAACATAATTTAATCATGTCTAATTATGTGTCCATTAAATTACATTTCAAAACAAAGAAGCAAAATAGTAGCTAACTTTAAACAACAAAATTAAGAACTAATAATTCGTATGCTAACTAATTAACTAGTAAAAATTAAAAATTTTTAAACCAAAATCAGTTGAAGCACCCAATTCATCGATATAGAACTCACTTTTACACTCTATCCTGACTATGCCAAGCACAAAATCGTAACATTTACTTTTTCATATAGATTAACAAATTTTCTTTCATTTTTTTCTCTTGATTAATTAGTTACCAGCATGGCATCATGTAAATTGGTCTTATTATTGAAGGGTACTCGCTATTTTACTTCTTTTTTAAGATATTTAAAATTAACAAGCATGTAATCACACGTAACAGATTCTACGTCAATCATCCTAAATTTTGCTTCAAAATGATAACATGGGGGACCAAATTTGTTCCTACCAATATTTTAGGGACTAAAATTACACACGTGCTAAACATTGAGAATCAAGTTTGCATTTTTCAAAATTTTAATGACTAAAACTGCATAAAGGCCAAATATTAGAGACTAAATCTGTATTTTCCCTTTAATTCTACGTCAATGAAATCAATGTCCTAGCCACCACGTTTTAAGTTTAAGACATCATTGCTTTTGAACGATGGTGTGGTACACTGGTAGCCACTACTTCATTTGATCGAAGAACCACAGTCGAAAGGTCCTGCAGTAAACGCCCCACCAACTGCACTGTCTCCCTAATAATTTCCATGATTTCGTAGTTCAGCTTCGCCTTTCAAAATCACGTTGCTGTCTATCTTCTTTCCATTCAATTTCCATCGTCTCTCTTGCCTTAGTTTCTTGTAATTGGTTACTTCTTTCTTCTTCTTTTTGATTGACCATAATGGCTCTACTCCAATTTTTTTTTTTTTTTTTTTGCTGCAGTTTCTTGTTGAGTAAGAATTTTCCTCGTATTTCGTCCTTAACTTTCTCACACAATTTTGACAATTTTTTTGTAGTAAGTTACCATATAGAAATGACGAACATTAATTGACAGGAATTTATAATGTCAACAATATCTTTCTATCTTCTTTCTTATGCTATTTCTAGGAACCATAGGAAAATTTTGTGCCTTCTGCTTCTTCTTTTGTTTCAAAGCGGCTTTTTCAGCGTACAGTATTCAAGTAGCTCATATAATGCACCTTATCACATTTGAGTTCATACTATGGCTCGGGGAGGGATGGGTTGGATGGTATTCCCGCTTGGACTAAAAAAAAAAGTTCATATTATGGCTCTAAGATAGTTGATTTTACTAGTGAATTTCAATTCATTAACTCCGGTAGCAGCTTCATACTAGGATTTGAAAAAAAAAAAAATTTGAAGTACAACAACTTTTTTAGCCTATAACTCATTAAATTCAGGAAAAACAAATCTAACCATATATAAGTTTCAAATTTCTCTTTTTCATAACAATATCCCTATATTTTTTTATAAGGATACATACTCGTTAATTATAGTCAATATTTATTTAGTCCTTGCAGATATGTAGCCAGATTTTCCCACATATTAATTATTCTCGCACAGGTAAAACTGCAAAAGGACAGATTCATTTGTAAGCTCCGGCTTCCGCTAACTAAACTCCCATTTAGTTCCACATATATCATTACAATGAGGTAAAAAGCAAGACCCCATAATACCAAATGCTGAGATGATATGGGAAATCAGAACAAAAATCATGATCTTGTATGAAGCGATTTGGGAAAACCTTGGTGCGTTGAAAATTTAATTCAACGATTTAAAGGTGAATATAATCTAGCCCAAAAAAAAAAGAAAAAATTGAACCTCTAGACGTAGATAATTATAGATTTGACTTTGTCAAGTGTTTCTAATTTTTTTGACATTACAATTAACTGACAGACTAATTAGATATGATAGGATGGTGGAAATCGGATTTGGGCTTACATCAATTGTCTTATGCTGGACATAGAAATAAGCCACGACATGATTGAGTGGTACAACAATTCCAACGAATTTCGTAATTACAAAGAAATTTGATTCTTTTTAATGCACTCCTTATCATTTTCTGCTATTACTTTTTTAGCTAAATTTGCATGCTGTTCATAGACCTCTTGAATCAATATAGTTCACATTTTGGTCAGACACCGTATTGGATTGGTTTGCTCCAAAGGTTTCTTTGCTATTACAAATACTAATTGGTCAGCAGAAATTAGTTCCATATAGGACAGACTTTGTAGTAGTTTTATTTCTTCGTCAATGAAATCAATAACGTCCTTCCCCTCGTAAAGAACCCACAGTTGAAAGATGCTCCTTTATCTTGATCCCACCAAAGGACCCACAGTTGAAAGAAGGTCCCGAAGTGCAAACAGAGCCTTCTTAATAGCTTCCATGATTTTATATTATGGCAGGTAAGGCAGCTTCGTCTTTCACAATCATGTTTCTTGCTTCAGCTTCTTCTAATTGGTTAATTCTTTCTTTTTCTGTTTGACGCGGTTTTTCTTTTTGATAAATACCGCACCATATAGCATCGAAGTTCATCAGCTTATGAATCTATATGACCTCCTCTTCCGTCTTCCTTTCAAGACACTACCAAGTAGACTGTCCTATAAACCAGAAGCCGCCTTCCCCAACATTCTTAAGTTAGAAAGAAAGACTGAACATGGCAGAAACAGTTCTCTCTTTTGTGCTGGATCAACTCTCAACTTTTCTGCGCGAGGAGGGACGACTGTTGGGTGGGCTTCGGCAAGAGGTCCAATTCATCAGGGATGAGTTGGGGCACATGAGAGCTTTCCTGAGAGAGGCAGAAGCAAAAGAAGAAGATGCTCAACCCAGGCTCCAAGAATGGATCAAGCAAGTGCGAGATGCTGCTTATGACACTGAAGACATTCTTGATGAATTTGTAGCTCGCTTTGCTCGGCATCGCACAACAGGATTCTACGGCTCTGTTCAGAGAATTTTCAGCTCCATCAAGAATTTGAGAGCTCGTCATCGAGTTGCTAGCGAAATACAAAGCCTCAAGTCCAGAATCAAAAGTATTTCTGAAGGTCATCAAAGATACCAATCCGAATATGGTATCTCTGCCCAAGGGTCCAGCTCACTTTCTGCTGTGAACAACACAACATGGCGCTATAGCAGAGATGACGCACTGCTTGTGGAAGAAGCTAAATTAGTTGGCGTTGACCATCCAAAGAAACATCTAATTTCTCAGCTCCTCAAAAGGGATGATTACCAACTAAAAGTTGTTTCAGTGGTTGGTATGGGAGGACTTGGCAAAACTACCCTAGTGAAAAAAGTCCACGAGGATCCTGAAGTTAGAAGGCATTTCCCAGTTCGTGCTTGGGTAACTGTCTCTCAAACATGCGACTTTCAGGATCTCCTGAAAGACTTGATTCAGCAGTTACACAAGGAAGGGAAGA